AACATCAAAGGATTTCCAGGATCCTTCTGGGACCCAGCTTCTCCCAGGACAGCAGCAACATGGTCTCCTTCCCTCTGCTCAAAAAGCTGCAATATTTCCTCCAAACATCCCCAGATGACAAAGACTAAGAAAGCTGTCTAGAGCTCAGGAGCATCCAAAATACAGTCTTTTCATGATATCCTTTTAATGTCTCTGGCATCTTGGCTCATGGTTAAGTAACAAATGTATAGACATAAAAATTTGCATTTGCACATCTTATGGATTCAGCATCTTAGTAAAGGGCAAGAACAGAATTTGTTAAGTACCAAGGCTTCTGCTGGCAATTCAGCATTTGTAAAGTCTAAACCACTCAAAATCTGACATTATTTGAACAGTAGTATCTATCTAAACATCTGTTTTTAACCTAGCAGGGCTAAAAACCTGTTGTGACCATGTCATGACTTGAAGGACTTTTTCCAAACACAGACAAGATAAGTGAACAGAAAGCAAAGTTGATTTGTCTCTCCTGCTGCAATGACATCTTGGCCACCTTCTAGTCAATGACAATCCTGAACTGAAGTGCAAGTATTTTTTTCAAGCAGAGATTTCCAAACAAGCTCAGTTCTGCAATGCTTACATACCTGTAACATGCCACCTTCATCCTCCAAAATATCCTGAAAAGAAAGTCCAAACATAGTAGCAGTTGAGATAGTAAGACAAAAGGATTTAAACTGTCATTCAATAACTCTTCAATCTCAGATAATCTTTTGAATCTCTTTATCTGAAATACTAGGTCAGGCCACTATACTTCTGCTGCTATTCTTTATTTCTGTGGCTTTTGTCATTGGAGATGCACTCCTTGGTATTACGAAAGTTTCAGGAGGAAGCCGTTTAAATAACTTCAAACTTCTGATTTTTGGGCTATTTACCTTCTGAGTCTCCCTGCTATCTGCTGAACTGTGCTGGCAAAGTGTTCACAGCCCCCATGCCCCACCATTGGTCATCCTGCATTTGCTACATCTAATGCCTCCAGGGACTTTCAAGAGACATTAGACCCCACTCCCCTCCTTGCCCCTCGCCCGCTGCCCCCACCCCATACTACTCTTCCTTAGGGTCACCCTGACAAAGGAACATCAGGCAAACAACAATGAAGGGACAATGACTTGGAAAATCATACATTTTATTGCCAAGTAGCATTTAGGCTGACATAGTAAAGCATTTCAGATAACTAAAATGTACATTTCTATTCAGATAATAATCTTTTCTGTAATTCTAAATCTCGAGAAGGTAGCAGATAATCCTTACTCTCCATTTCCTGGGGACTCTTTCTTTACCTCCTTCATTCTCCTTACAGCATTCATTTAAAGTCGCTTCAAATTCAGGAAATCACATCTTGTATTTCAAACTCTAAGGAAAAAGAATCCCCAAACTTCCATTTACATTTTTTTTTTTTTCTTTTTTTCCCCCCTCCATAATATCTCCATCTTCCAAACTTGGAATACCAACACAAAGTTTGCAAACAATCCCAAAACACTGAATTTTCAGCTTAGATTTATTTCAAGTTTATTAAGTAATTTTTTTACCAGTAAATTGAAAAAATCAACTCAAATATAAAACTTGCAACAAATAACTTCAGGATAAGTGTTTTATAACAATTCTACTTTGCTCATTTCATTATTCAGCAGATACTGTACAAAACTGCCACAGAAACAGTGGTACTGAAGTCTACTTATGCATCTTACACAACTTTAGGGTAAACCCAAGCACTGAATATTCAGAGCACTTTAAATATGTTAAACAATACAGACAGGTAATAGCACAGTCCAAATGCCAAAGTATCTGCTTATTTTATACACCATTTTAAAAGCACTTACTGGAGTTGCATGAATTCCAACTGACATCACAATTTATTTCAAAAGATGCTTATTGCAGAGTACTGTTTTCAAATAAATTTACAAGAAACAATATTTTCCTAGGGCTGTGGAAAACAACTAGCCTACTGAAGCTTCAGTCTTGGCTGCAGTGATGTCAACAGGAGTTTTGCCACTGACTTCACTGATACAAATACTTCTTCTATCCACTCATTTTTCTATTAGATAAAAGATGTAAAGGCCAGCTCAGATATACAAAATAGCTATTTGAAAAATATTTCCATGAGGCACACGTGCAATATGAAGATAAGTTATCATAAATATCAAAATTATAGCCTTTAGTACTATTCCATATGAAAGTCTCAGATACGTTGCAGCAAAAGCAAACCAGAATAGAGAGGAGAGCACCACTGTTAACCTTTGCTGAGTTCCTTCTTAAGGCTATGTGACTGTCTTCTGGGAAGAAAGACAACAGTATTTTCTTTTTGGTACTATTTTCATGGGTGAATGTATGGTATTATATTTTTAACCAAATTAATAAAATGCATTCCAAAATAAAGGTTTCTGTGAATGTGACTGGCTTCATAACTACAGATATGCTCCCATAGCTATGTTTTAGAGATGTGTAACACACCTATCCATAAAAATGTTTTAATGTTCATGTAGTTAAGAGGTTTAGGGATAATAATTACAGCTTCTGAGTATGAATATGGTCAGTAATAACTGTCTCATCCTGAGAGGCTGAAGCTTACCTGGGTTCCCTTATTCAAAGCAGCAGCAGAATAACCGACTGCTGAAGTGCGTCTCACCAAGGTTCATGTTCTTATTTTAAAGCCATAAACCAATAAGAATTCTAAAGAGTAGAACTAAATATAATGCTATTAAACTGGAAGTTTTAAATTTCAAATGACAGGTGAGAATGTCAAGTTTTAGCTATATTCATGTGAAACTCTGAGAAGTTAAGAGGCTTCAGCTTTATTCTCCCATCAAATGAATCACTTTGCTTTCCTGTAATATTAGGTCTGCCTGTGTTACACCAACTGCTTGTGCTCCAGTGTATATGCACCTGAAGTTACACCTGCAGCTCACTGGATGCGTGCTAGTTCCTGTCCAGAACCCACCTTTGCAGAATAACTATGCACATTCTCCCTGTGAGGTGTTACTGGCTTGAAAACAGTGTTATATGAATGTAGCTCTTCAATTGCAAAACCAGAATTAGCCTTTGTCCAGACACACTGAGCTGGCACTTGTCTGCAAGCACTGGCATACACTCCTCACAATGAAGGGAGTGAAGAAATACATTCCTGGAAAGATGCCGAGCAACCCGCTGCTTCAGCTGAACTTAGCAAAGCAGTACAGCTTGCAGAATCAAACATCAACTTGCTTAAGACATTAAGGGCAAGCTTATTAGGCTATGTAAGTTTATTTTTCATTTCTGTTAGCAAAATAGACAAAAAATGTAAAACCAATTTAAACCACTACATGCAAATTAAAAGCCTGAACACTGCTAAGGGTTGGGAATCCTGGTGACTGTTTCTTACCTGAAGCATATGCATTTCAAATGTTGAGAAACATTTAAGACTCCGTATTTTTTCTGTGCGTGAAATAAGCTCCCACAAAAATAGGCAATAACAGCATGCATTTAATTTTCAAGACATTTTGGGAGACAGATATGACTTTGAGCTTGCTGCTCATTCTTTCATGTTTCACCAGCTGTTCAACATGAAATGTAGCCACAGAATGCTTCACAGTTAAGGCTCAGTGATAACTGCAAGTGACTCTAAACATAGATAACAGCCTTACATTTTCTTGGCAACAAATCTCACACTACACCGTAGTGAGATGAAAAATAAACTGACAACAGATGAAAAGTCTTCTGCTGGATCAGTTTCTTCACTATGTTAAGCAACTTTTATCAGCAGCCTCTGATGCCGTACAGGGGACACACCTCTAGTGCTGCATGTAGCCAGCCACAAGGAACAAGAAACTGAGTGCATCAGTGTCAGAGTTACTAAAGCTACTAATTCAAAAAACTTCCTCAGGTGAACAGATATCACTAAAATTCAGAGCTGTGCCACCTATTCTGACCAGATCTACAACCTCCTCTCCCCGAGCACTGCTCTACACTCTGCTACCTTAACTCATCACCTGAAAACGACTCGCCCTCTAAGAGACTGCTCTGGCGTCTTTCACAGTTAAAACCCTCAGCCATTGTCAAACATTTTAGACAGATGGTCTTGTAAGTTATACAGATATTGTTCCAGATTCACAACATACTTAAATCAAACTTCACATATACACCTTAAGCTTGCGCAGTAGAGAGCAAATTATAAACCCCAAATGAAACCATGCAAAAAAAAAACCAAACCCAGAAGATCATCAAGCTATCATATTTAAATACAAATTAAAGAAAATAATATATAAAGTTTGAATTTGTTCAAGGTATTGAAAAACAAAGAAGTAATAATTTTCTTGTGTTGTATTTTTTTTTTCTTTTGCTTACACATCAAATTTGAGATAAAGCAAAAAAAATCTTAATTCCCCATCTTCGTCAAATCCTGGTTCTTCAGATACCAAAGGAAGTCTGTGCTCTTACTGGGCATTTAGTGTATATACTCAGACTAAATTTTATATTTCCTTCCATGTAGAAGAGTAACTTAAATTCCCAAATTTACCACATTAACACAAAAGTGAATTAATAAAATATGAAAACACTTTAAGAATATTCCCAGCGTTTGTAACACAGAATATTTCTGGTCTATTTTAAGTTGTGTGAGATATGTCAAAATAAATCTCTGTGACTTATCACTGTTCTTACTACCCTCAGAATTATATTTGATTAGCAGTTCTCTCACTTTAAAGGCATCAATGGAAATCTACATCATTCTGACATCACACTAGATAGAAAATTGCACTAAACCCAGGTTTAAAAAGCTATACCACTGTCAGGTATTATGCAGTTACATAAACTGTAAAAATGCATAAATTTTTAAAGTATCGCAGTCAATCTAACTTTAGATGTTAAGTCACAAATATGCTGAACAACTGATCATTTGACAGAAAACCAAAAAGTGCCTTGCACAGTAAGTTACTGCCTTGCACAGGAACTTCACCTCTAAGCTTCTACATCATAACTCGACATCAATCACTTCAGTCCTGGACATCAAAGTAGTCAATCACCGGCTCTTCTTTTAATGGTTTGGATAAACCACTGTTTCCACTGCTCCTGAAATCATAACCATATTAGATGTTACTCACTTCCATGAAAACAAAACAAAACAAAACAAAACAGTCAACTGACATCACAAATTCTACAATGTTTCAGTGTGCACATGCACCTTGCACCGGTAAAAAGCATGCATTTCTAAATCACGTTTTAATGGAAGAATCTTAATGTCCTTTGTCAATTGCTTTTTGGAAAAAAACACACACTTTATTAAATTAATGTACATCAATCTATGGCTGAATTTACACTATTTGTTTTGGGGTTTTACCAGAAAATACCAGTTCCTGGTAATATTTATTACAAAAACAATACTGTAGTGAAGACTAAATGTTCAACATGCCTTTTTAAAAGAAAGACCAAAAGAAATACTGTTGAAGTGAGTTGCTGATCAAACCTGCTCACTTTTAAAAACAACAAAAAACATATGGTAATACCAAATCCAAATGCTGTAAAGATTTTTCCCATAAGACAGTATGAGATTTTCAAGATCTTGTAGAATTAAGCACTTCTAAAGAAATTTCACTTCTGGTAATTAAAAATAAATGGCTAAAGCCCTTCTTCAATTTAATTTTGCCACATCATCTAGTTAAAGATGTCCCTGCTTACTGCAGGGGAATGGACTAGATGGCCTTTCAAGGTCAGGTAACTCCACATAAAATTGAAGCATAGTGTTCTAAAAACAAATTCCTTACTTATCTGCTTGTTTGTAATGAGGAATAGGAGGTGGAGGCCTGCTCTGCATTTCTTTATCCAACACAGAAGTTAAGGTATTGCTTGGACAAATGGATTTCCCTCTAGAGAAATAAAAGAAAGGTTATTTAATTTAATAGGAAATCATATTCATTAAGAAGTTAGGGGAAGAGTGTTAGGTGTGCAAGTAGCCATACTGGTGTCAGAGTTCATACCTGTACACTTAAATTACCTATTCAAATATTTAATTTTCCAACCACAGAGACCAAAAGTATGCAGAGTTCACCTTGATTAGCAAGAACAAGGTATCCAGTATTCTAAATGTCTCCCGATTGCTATCTAGAAAAGATGCAGAAGCAGCTTACTAGATTTGAATATTGGTGCCCAGACTCCTTCCCTTCTCCATGAGAAGTGCACAACTCTTTTCTACTTTGAACTGCACAATATGAACAACTGTTAAAATACCAACAATGCAACAGTCACATTCTAGGGCAGCACACATCTGTTCATTCACAGAACAGACCAAGATCAGAAGCAACAGCTTCATTGCTTAACTCATTGTCTTGTGAACACATTTCACTGGATCTCTACAACATGTTATCTAATGTTTTGGAAACATTCTTAAAGTCTGCCAGAAACTCATGCTAAACTTGTTTGTAACTACGCACTCAAAGTAGCCCTGCTAAGCAGCAATCTCCCAGAACAAAGAGTAGCAACACTGCCTCTTTCTTGTCAGCTAGCCCAGGTGAAAAAGATCAGAAAAATAACACTATGCACCAGGGAAAATGAAATCAATGCTTCCTGCCCTCCATGCTAGTTAACAATCTATTATGTGATCACGACCACACAATGAGGCATCCCATTTGTGCTCCTTCCATCTGCAACACAAGGGCCACCCTGCAGCTGTGGTGCAGGGCAGGAAGAATATGAAAAAAAACCCCAAACAAACAGAAAAAAACACTGGGAAGATTGTTGCAAAACGGATGGAGTTAAAAAAACAAAAAAAATCCAAATAATTCCCAAACACGGTGTATCTCTAACAGGCTGTGGAGATATCTTAAAATTTCCCTATAAATTCATGAGCCACTTTGAAGAGAGAGCTTGGCTTTATTTTAACTTCCAGTCACTGTTAAGATTTAACTGCAAGACTGAAAAACCTTCCATGATAGCACCTTTTCCATTCACAGTCTCTTTTTCATCCTCTCTGGGGGTGAATAAGCTGAATAAATTAAAATTCTTAAATCTTATCACTGTCAGTTTCTTCTTGGACTTTGCTCTAGACCCATACTACTGACATTTTAAGACCAAACTCATTCTGGTACACCAAATTGGATTGCTTTCCTATTTCTTCCTGAATGGTTTATATTGGATACTAGGAAAGAAAGTTGTCAAAGCACTGAACAGGCTGTCCAAAGAAATGGTTGAGTCACCATCCCTGGAAGTACTTAAAAGATGTGTAGACATGGTGCTTAGGGACATGGTTTAGTGGTGGACTTTGGAGTATTAGGTTAATGGCTGGACTCTGATCTTCAGGGTATTTTCCAACCTAAATGATTCTATGTCAATCACTAAATAGTGTTTCCTCTTTGTTTATTTAATTCAAGAATTTTTAAATAACCTCCTTCCAGAGCAGAGTCCTCTAGACCATGCAGCTAAGGCAACCAATCCTTAACTGTCTCAAGACTGACTTCACTGAAAGGAAACAAGATCCTGGATGAAGAAGAATAATAGAAAACACACTGATGAGACTGTGGCAGGAAATGGTTTTCTCAGAAAGAACAACGTGCAGTGATCCCATCACCTTCCTGAGAAGTCCCTTTGTTCAGGAGGAGATGCTGACCCTATCGTTCTTCCTGGAAGGAACAGGAAAGGCTGTGTGTTACAGGAACTGACTTATCAGAGGACACTTCCACAATGTCTCAAGTCTATACAAGCTGCTTAAACACTGAGCACTACACAACAACAACAAACAGCCACCCCTTAACAGGTACTGGCATCAGAGTTATTCATAAGAGGAAATTCATGAGTAGAAGACTTCAAGAAACTATTGACAGGTACAGTGAAGTGCAGGAGTCAACCTGGAGAAGAAAGCCTCCCTCTTTTTACCATACCAGTCTGCACATTACCTTTGACCTTCTTGGTTCAGAAGTCATCTGGTATTACAACTGCTCAAAAGATGGTGACTGCAAAGATGAAAACAGGGAAGGCGAGAGAAGGGCACTTACAACGATTCACTTTGGGTCTTACACTTCACATGACTCCAGAAGTGTAATTTAGATCAACTTTTGACAGTCAATACTGGGAATGCTCCCTGTGTGGTTAGACAATGGAAATGCTGCATGTCAGCAGCCAATATGAGCCAACTCTTACTGATGTGGTGGAATGATAATGGGGCAGGGGCTGAGGGCAAAGCAGGTATGTGGTGTTTGCTCCTAAATATCCTGAAGAAGAAGGCATCTGCCTGGAGGAATTTTAGCACTAAGGAGACTTTCTCACTCCTCTGAACAACCTGTATGGTGATGCCACCATTTCAATGAAACAATGCAGGGGTGTGAAAAGGAAGAATGGTCTTTCTGCCTAGCATTATTTGCAATTATCTATATTCAGAGGAGACCATAAGAGAAATCTGGGAGGAATGCTGAGAATAGGATAAAACAAAAGGAATCAAACCATTTGGACTTTCTGGTGACTCCTAGCCCCTGGACTTGATGAAGCTGTTGTGAAATATTCACAAGTATCGTGCTGGAACTTGAGCAATCACTTGTCTCAGACCAGTATTTTTTATGTGTTCAAGAAGCATCAAATAAAAAGACAATGAAGAGAAGCTCTGGATTAATCTACTGAAATTAAGAAACATTGCTATGCAGCTGAAGAATATTCTTAGTAGACAACCTGCTGCTATTTCAACTCTGTCACTCTTCCAGACACCATGTCTGTCCTGTATGGTATGCTCTTCACTGAACAGTTTAAGGGAAGGAGCAAGCAGGCAATCTCTCCTAAAACCACAAAGGAAGGCCTCCAATTCTCAAGCTGTAGCATATGTCTCTGTTTTTAAAGCATAGTCACCTGTCCTGCTCCTTTCTCTGACACTTTATCCCTTCATTAATATCTAATCCTGCCCTTCCCCTTCAATTTATTTTTCTTATATTTTTCAAATATGATCTCTTTTCTCACTTTCCTTACCTAGAAACAAAAAGATTGTTTCAACGAAACAGAAAGGATGTTCCATCTCTCTTGAAAGAAATCAAGATTGTAGCTAAGCTACCAACCCACGAACAGGCTCAGGAGCAGCTTATGGCACTCCTGTAGCATGGAAGTTGACGTGTTTTTTATAACTACAGTGACTATCCACAGTTAAAAACAGGTTGTCACAGGAAACAAAATTTGACCATGCTAAACTAAATAAGCTGCTCAGTGAGCAGCAGAATCAAGGAAGCCTTGATACCTCATTTGGGAAGCTTTCCCATATTATGTCTCCAGTGCAATCACCTTACTTTTCCCCCAGCTATATTCCCTTCATTTCCTTCTCAGATATGAATTGACTTCTTTCTGTGGGTCTTCTCCAAATATTTCCAGTTTTGTTTAGAAATCTCTTCAATTTGCAGTAATTCCAGCTCCCTCTTTGTCCAGTAACTAAAGAGAGAATATACTCTGTGGCATGTTGAGATATATGGAAAACAATTAAGTTCCAATGCCAAGTTTTTCCAAAGAAGATGCAAATTCAGGTATGACTTCTCAACACAGCAGTTAGTTTCCATATAATTTTATACATTTATTACCTTTGATACTTCTATCAAATCTAGCTGATGGCAAAAAGACAAAAAGCTACTGCTAGGATGAATGGAAAACAGCCTTGCAAAAGTATTCGCTTAGTCTTTTTATTGCTGATTTTTAATTTCTAATCTCTGCAGATTTACTTGACTAATAGAAATAGAAGCCTATGAAATTACCAATTTAAAAACAGCTTTAAAAACATTTCTACTGGAAGCTACTGCATGTGGCAAATTGCATTGTAAATAAACTCATTTGAGTAAGTGATAAAAACATCCATTTACTTAAACTCTAGTTAAGAGATTTGAAGGCAGCAGTGGATTACACACTTGACTGCAGTGATGACGACGTTGCGCTTCGGCTCGTTGTCATAGCTCACGCTTTCGATGCCGTACACCTGAGCCAGCTCGTGGATGATCCTGCGGTGATCTCTGTTCATCGGTGGGTAGCAATGGCTCTTCTTCGTGTGCTTGCCCTGAATTCAAGAGAAAAGGTTAAAAAAAAAGGTAAAGTTTTCCTTCAGGGGCCTGGGAAGAAGAAAAAATGTGCTTCTACCTCTACAATTATGTTGCTATGACAAAACTAGTACCACAAACTGCTAATACCCGAGTATTGACAGACAACTCATCCAAAAATGTCCATTTATTTCCCCAAAATTAAATTGTGTTGTCTATTGTTTCCATTACCTCAAAGTATGCACACACATACATGTATTTTTCAAGTTTGAAATAAAAAGCCTGAATGTGTCCATTCTACTAAGATCCCAAAGTAGTACAAAATTTTTCTGAATTTTTATTTTTCAGAATGATCAGCCAATTTTGAATCAGATTAATTTTGAGACTGGCCTTGCAATTCACACATTGCAGAGAGCTGTTAAGTTATCAGATTTATCATTTCTCTCCACCAAAAAGCTATTTATCACCAGAATCTGCCATGTAATGGGATCTATAGACTTCTTATTAAATAAGAATAAAACTGTAGTTTTCATTTCAGTTAATAAAGACTGATAATGCCTGACTCAACACTGATTGCTATATCAACAGTAAAAGAACAAGAAAAAGCAGGGTCTTATGAGCTCTGCGACTCTGTAAGAGCAAGTGCAGATGAGGATGACACACTCACTGCTTCAGAGATTCAAGACACTGCTTCAGATTTTGCCTTGGTTGCCACAGAAAAGGTGTTCTAGGTCTTTGGGTATACAGAGGTCCAAGGGGAACACACACTACCAGCAGCAGAGTATGTCTGAGTCAGGGTTTTCTAAAGAAATTCCAGCCTATACAAGTTCCTGGGACAGCTGACAATACATTTAAGGGCACTTAGAGACTAGGACAATGTCTCACTATCATCTCTGAATAACTGCAGAAAATGGAGTAGGAACACAGTGACTAGAAAGAGGCAATTGTTGCAATTATGTTAAAAACAACACACACACACAGACAAACAAAACAAAACAAAACCCAAACCAAACCCAAACCAACAAGAACTATGTCTTGATCAGCTACACTTCAAAGCCTGGGGAAAGATCATAGAGCAAGTCCTTTCAGAAGCACTTTTTAGGTACACAAAGAAGGTCCCTGGGAGTAGTCAATGTGGGTTTACAAAAGGTCAGTCATCTATATTAAAGAACACGTAATAGAGCAAGATAACAAAGGCACAGGGTAGCCATACTGGAAATAGATGGTTAATATCTTTCTTCTCTTAGACTATAAAATAGCTGTTATGAACAGTAACTGGACCAGAAACTGTGGTCAACCATTTCCGTAAGTCTTCAGGGTAATGAAATGCTGTCAGGATATACTTTGTTACTTAGCAAGAAAGCGTAATAAGCCTCCCACCTATAAGAACACTTCCAGTATATAGACAGGCATTTGAATGAAGAAAACTCTAAAGATTCTGTATTTAGTTGTGATGACCAGGAACGCTTGCTTTAAGGAGTTATGATGGTTCCATGCTCACAAAACCATTAAAATTTCTGTCCATATGCAGATAGAGCCGGAAGATGTAAATGATTGCTGTCTTGTCTGCTTACGTATATCAACGGCAACAACTCTGCTGTGCTGGATGAGAACCCACTGATGAGTCTTGGGGAACAGGTGTTCATGAGGCAGAGTCAAATAATGACAGATACAGCTAAACTATATTAATGCTAAAACTTCTAAGTATCAAAATTCTTTTTATCACTCTTTTATTCAGTTCAGCTGAGGTTAGTATCTCCAAAGGCATGGTGCAAACAATAAAAGTCAAAGTGAAGTCCGCTAGCATAAGTAACAGTAATCAATACAAAAGACACAGTACTGATAGAGGCACAGATACTGGAATGCTTAATAAACTAGCATGCCAAGTACTTTTAATGCAAGTAAGTAAAGCTCTGCATCTAGAATCAAAATAAGTCACATCCTTAGTGAGAAAAGATTTAGGAGTCATGATAAACAACTATGGAACACAGACACAAACATAAGGAGGACTTGGATCATGGCAGAAGAACAACTAAAACCAGTTTCCTTGCCCGTTGCCATGTCAAACATATTAATCCAATCTTTGGCTACATAAAAGGTTGAGTTGGTTGGTCTGGACACAGGCCTGAATGAGCAACACTGATAACACGAGGTAGAGAGACATTCCCAAGACAAAACAGATACCTGCAGGCTGCAAGATGAAACATGACTCTTACAAGGGAGGAAAATAAAGCATCTGAGACTGCCAAAAATAAAAAGAAAAGGTATGCAAGAAGGACTGAGTAGAAGAGCAGGTAGACTTTACACTGCAAGAGACACATTCCCTTTTATAACATATATGCCACCGTTTTTAGGGAAAAGAAAGAGCACGGCATCCACATATGCTGCCACTCCTGTCTTCAAGATAGGCAAGGAGGACACACAGAGCTACCGGCTTGTCAGCTTCACCTCAATCCCTTGAAAAATGATGGAGCAGCTCATCCTGGAATCCACTTCCAGGTACTTGAACAAGAAGAAATTCCTCAGGATTAGTCAGCATGGCTTCACCAAAGCTTCACCAACTTGATAACTTCTGTGATGAACTGACATGACTGGTGGATGAGGGGAGAGCAGTGCCTAGTGTCTGCTTGGCCTACAGTAAGGCCTTTGACACTGTCTCCCTCCCATAAGAGCCTCATAGCCCCATACCCTGTTGCTATAGGGGCTGGATGAGCACACAGGGAGATGGGCTGAAAACTGGCTGTTTGCAGGCCAGCAATTAGCAGCGTGCCCAGGGGGGAAAGGAGTGGGACCACGTACTGGTCCAGTCCACCTTTAGTTATCTGCTCGATGGTGCAGAGCACACCCTCAGTGAGTTTGTTGATGACACAAAGTTGGGAGGAGCAGCTGATAGGCCAGAGGGGCGTGCTGCCATCCAGCATGAGCTTGACAGGCTGGAGAAGTGGGCTGGCAAAAACCTCAGCAAGGAGAAGTCCACCATCCTGCACTTGGTGAGGAACAACCCCATGCACCAGTATATGCTGGGGGTCACCCAGCTGGAAAGCAGCTTGGCAGGAAAGGACCCGAGGGTCCTGCTGGGCACCAAGTTGGACATGAGCCAGCTATGTACACTTATGGCAAAGAAGATTGCTGGTAACCTGGCCTGCACTAGGTAAAGTTGTGCTGTCAGCAGGCTGAAGAAGGTGCTCCTTCCCCCTTCTCAGAAATTTTGAGGCCACACCTGGAGCACTGTATCCAGTTCTGCTGTTACCAAATGGGCTCAGTGCAGGAGCACAAGAAGTCTGTAGGCACTGTGAATAATGCAGATCCAGAATGGGTGTCTAAACAGACAACTGGTAATTAGTAATCTAAACGTATCAAGAAGGAATCTGACAGTCTTGTGAAAGGTAATATGTAACTAAACAGAGTTTTCAGGCACAGAACATTGAGATTGTCATAGAACTCCTCAAGTAACTGTTGGGTTTGCCTACTGAAGACTTCACGAAAGAAGGTGTTCTTCTCTGCATTTAAATTATAATAATATATGACTACCAAGCTTCAAGGCTTGTCTCACTTGCCTTTGGTGTTCAGAAACAAAACTCTTCCCCTTTGAAGCTTAATTTGACTTCTAGGGACTTCTTGAACCTTATGGAATAGCAACTCCCAGCAGGCTGAGAGGCAGGATGGTGCAGAACTGATCCCTGAGATACCAAATTGTTTTGTGGGCCTAGCTGGTTAATCCCGATCATGGTAACAGCTTAAGGAATCACCAAGTAATTCTCCCTTTAGTCAGAGAGGGAAACGATTGTCCTATCTGGTTTGTTTTCATTCTCTCATTCTCTTCTGCAATGTCAATGCTCTTTAAGAGACACCATTTGCTTGCTTTGTAGGATCATTATTTAGCAAATATTTGGTTACTGCTGAGAATTACAGCACTGGAGGTGCTCGTGAGCTCTCTGGTTCTCTTGCTCTGTCATATTTAACGTCAGCAGTAACCCATTGTACATTGCAAATCCAAGACCTGTGGTGGTTAACTTGCTGTTCTTTGTGGTTTGCTTGGTTTGTTTGTTTTTTTTTTTAAATATATATCTTGGTTTGATATTAGTATAGGCATATACATTGGTGCACACAGTTATTATCTATATAAAAATATAAGTGTACACACTTGTTTACATGTGTGTATAATAAAGGCAGTATTTAAAGGTATATGTAAAATAGGATAGCCACAGGCAACACCACATTGGGCAAATTATTTTCCAGGTGCTAACTGTTCTGTGCATCTATTACCATGTGTCTGAGGTTGAAGGGGCCTGAACATAGACACAGATGGTCTCCTTTCAGACTTTCATTCCAGTGTGGGAAACAATGGGCAAGAACATTAGACAGGTCAACAAGCACAAAAATTAACAACATCATACATACAAAAGAAGGAATAAAGTCAAGTAATTGTCCTCACTGGGTAGAGGGAAGGAAATGTTTTCCACAGAATGTTAATTCTTTCTTGAGCTAAGGGCAACGGAGGATAGTGTGGCTTACACTGTCCTTTCCACCATAAATACTGGGTCAGGCATGGTGCAGCAGCAAGCCAGGAGGATGCTGACCTGATGGGCATGAAGGCAGAACTCTCCTTTCACTGAAAAACCTGACTGTCTGTGGTATAAACCTCCCTAGGTATACTGGAGTTTGCCAAACAACTACAGCTGAATCCAAGTCTCCTTACAGAAGCAGGAGGACTGCCTCACACACTGGCAAATGCAGGAAGGTATCCACATATTTGTGAACAAATTCCACTACAGGGAACAGAAGAACCTAGGCTTTCCTGCTCAAAGTCTGAACTTTTAAACCTCACCTTTGAGGATTAATACTTCATTAATGGAGATCCAAAAATTAATGATAAACCACCAATATATTAAAGCCCAGCACTGGTTGAATCTTTGAACAAAGCTTGGCTGTTACCAAAGTGATCCTAAGCTACATCTCCTATTCTAATTATATTGTGCACTTTACTGGAACACAAACAACTCTAGTGTTAACTCAGAAGCATTAGTATGAATAAAGTTTAGTAATATGAAACTTCCCCCCAAACTAATCTGTTTCTCATTAAGAGTCATACAGAATATCTGAATACTGACCTTATTCACAGCTTCCACAAGCATTCTCATTTCCTTCTCAATGTCACTGACAAATTTTAAATCCTTCCTGCAAGAACAGCAGTCTAGGTAAATGAGGCAAGAGAGTGTACAAAGATACAATACCTTTGCCTTTTATAACATTACTGTCAACAAGAACAAAATTAAAGAACTCAACTGACTGAAGCAGAAGCAGGAGTGAGAGCACATCACACTACCTGCATGTTAACATGTCATCACCACTACAGAAAGCATGAATAACTTTCCATTCAACCCCTGGAATCCAGCATAAAATTTTATGTTACATCTCTACCAATACAATTCTCTTTTCTTCAAATGGATAATGTAGATTTTAAAGTTGCCATTTCAGTGGTTTTAAATTGCTTGTCATTGAGGCAATTCACTGAATTAGAATACATAATTAGTCACAAAAATGGGGATTTTCCAACATAGAGAAAAAGGGCACTGACTTTGGTCTTCAACTTGTCTAGCATAACAAATAATTACCAACAAAAGATGACTACCTGCAAAAAAAAAATATTACAGATTTATTTAAGAATCAGGACAGGACAGAAGTGTGGTAGTGGCAGCAGAAATCAAATTATTAAGTGAAAGTAATTTTCCTGTAGGAAAAGGTGAGATGGATTGGGGTAGATGAACTGTACAGAAACTGATTTCACGGGCAACACCTAACATCTCTAGTTCCAGTGGCTCTCTGAACAGCAGAAACAGGACCTTACCCCTTCTGCTTGTAACATATTACACAACGGCAGAGCTGTGACTACCCATATGTCTGTACAAAAGTGAGTTAAGTGTTTTGTGTTCACTCTGCACCTCCAGAACCTTTCGTTTCAAAGAACTTCATGGAAGAACAACCCTGATCTGAGTGAGCTCCAAACCTACAGACTGTTCATACAGGAATAACAGGCCAATACAGGAACATACAGGCCAATGCAGGTGGTGGAAGAGACAAAACAATTGCTTTTTCTTTGAAATCATCACAAAGATTCTAAGGGAGTATAATTTGTGTTGACGAATCTTCCAAGGAAATGGTGGATTTCAGTATTCCTTAATCTGAAAGTTTCCTTTGATAGAGTTATCCTAAACAAACATCTGAATTGCCCTAGAGAATTCTTGTCACATCAGTGAATAGCTGAGGCAATACAACAGGAAGATGCATCTTCTGTATCTTGATGTTCACAGTGAAGAACAGTACTTCAGGCTCCTTATTCCTCTGCCACTAAGGCTGACAAAGCACAAGTATTTTTAGTTCTTTTTGGTTACTCATCTGAGCTCTTACAGTAAGTTCTCCAAGTTTTGCCAAGTGTGCTGTTCTCTTGTTGATTTATTTTAAAAGGAATATTGTTATTGCACAGAAATAATGTTTTGCACATGATTCTTTCAGGTAAGCTATTTATGACTGGCTATGGCCAAACAACCAGCTAACTGCCCATTGTGAGATCTTACATTCTAACCTGCAATAGAAACTTAATAAAAAATAATGTACAGGAAAGAAACAAAGTGACAAACACATCAGATCTGACACTGGGTATGCTGAAATTCTGCAATGTGGGACTTGAAAGTATCTTTTTCTGGGCTGTGCCTATAAATCGTGTACACTAGGCTACTCCTCACCTCCCTGCATTGCATGTAAGCAGGAGCAGGCCTACTGCCATTTCAGTTCCTCTCAACCACCCTACTTAATAAGAATGTTCCTCATTAGCTGTTTTTTCAATGGAGTTCTTGCTGTATATTTTTTGCTTTCCTCAGATTTTGCAGCCTTTGCCATAAACCTCCTTATTCTTGCAATACCTGCCAGTGCAAGATTCTGACTCCGAGTGACTGTCATTCCAGGCTTGCAGTTTGCCAATCATGTGCTTGAGAAGTTGCCCTCACTGCTCCTTCCTTCAGGCTTCAGTGCTTGTTTAAGGAGGCTACAAAAACCTCCTACCCGTTGCTCCTGTGGCCACATTTTGGACAGGAGTGCTTGGCTTTGCCTTCACTGTCTACAACAGCGTGTGGAGGGTTAACTTTTGGGAAGGCTGGCTAAGGAAATGCCTATGAAGGACACATCTCCCTTGGTGTCTCTCTAGACTTAACTATTTGATCCAAGATCTCCTTGGTCCATACAGCCCCTGTGAGGTCTTGCTCAGCCAGTGACGAAATAAGAAAATTCTTTTCTGTGTAGCTCCATATGGCCAGGTACTTGAGATGTCCTCCTTTTCTTCTCTGGTAGTCTTAATTCATCAAACAGCAGCCTTAGCACCGTCCTTGTCAAACTGGGCATTGATACTTGTGCCAGTCCACCCTCCAACTTCATCTCAACAAGCTAAATGCAGCATTTGCTTGCTCTCTGTGTCTGTTTCTGGAGCATCTTAAAAAGGTGCTGAAGTGTCCACCCAGTGGATCTGTATCCCCTGATCTGTACCCAGACGTGCTGGCACAGTCATCTCCATGCTAGCAGGCAGGTTCCCCTTGACAGCAGGCTATGGCCTCATGTGAAGTTGTATGGTGCAGACCTTTATTCTGACTCCTTGTCAGATTCTGACAGATGAGCAATATCAGCATTACCATGCTGCTCCTGTCGCTCCCTTCTCCTGCCATTCTCCTACAATGGAAACATATTATCTTGGCGTGCTTCCACTTACTCATTTTCCTGCTACCTGGAGTTGTACTGCATCTTGGATCTTTCAGGTTCTGTAATTAAAGATTATAGCTTAAAATCAGGATTTCTCTCACAGCTCTCTCAAGTTTTCTCACTTGTAGACGTATTTTTTTCAGCCTTTGACAATGTACCAACTTCATGAATTGCTTAAACAAGGTAATATCACAGCATTCTACTCCTAATTTTGGCAGCTGCCACATTCTTGAGGCAGTGACTCTGAACACACAGGAAGGCAGCTGTCATATTCCTCATTATTTTGAGATCCCATCCATAGATCTATAACTTATGCTCTGCAAAAACCCACAAGCCCTGAACTCTTGCACTACTACAGCAGCCTGCAAGAATAAATGCATCTGTCAAAACAGGATACTGAGCTACCTGAAAAAAAAATTCTGTTAACAGATACACTTTGTAGATCTTGCCATGATGAGAGAAACACAGATCTTCTGCAAGACCACTGAGATAAAAGATCATCAAGAACAGTCAAGGAAGTAAGTTCTTAAAGCTATGGCTTCACAAATTGCAGGCTGCTACTCATGTAAAGAGAGATATGTTAATACAGGGAGAAACTCATTTATGTTGAAGACTAGATAAATGAAAACCAGTAACTCAATCTGCAAAACCATGGACTTCAAAACTAACAAAAACTTTTGCTTTAAGCTGTGAATCAGTAAGAATAGCCTGGGTGTATTAGTTTATTGTGAGTTACCAATGTGAAGTGGTTACACAGGAGATACAAAGAAAACTGCAGAATGACTGAGAAGAGATACTTTCACAGAGGAAACAGGGGAGTGTGAAAGCATTAAGGCTACTTTTCAAGGTATCTGTTAGACCATCCGGAATACAGAGTATGACCATGGTCAGTTCTGAACAGATGAACACTGCACTATGGGTAGAGAATGGCTGACAGAAAGGTAAGATTGGACTGTACTCCAACAGAGAGGGGACGACACATAGAACACAAGATATTCAACACAGGAAGAAAGTGAAAATGTGTGCTTTGTTTTCTGAAAGAGATAAAGCAAAACATTCTATATACATTTAGGAGAACAGTCTTTATAAAATAGCACTAATGAAGCAGTACCTCCACAATCCTGCAGTAGGCTAATCAGTTGGAAGTAAAGCAAGAAATTATTTACTCAAATTCTGTGTGGCTTTTTATATATAATTTTCACTTTTCTTATACATCAGCAAATTAAATAAAGGATTTTCAAGTAGAAAACACCCTCACTAAAATTTGAAATGTGTGTATCATTAGGACAGTGATAAAGAGCAAAATGGATGCAGCTGTTCTAAAAACTTACAGCTAATAAAAACTTATGCCATGCCTACAAACACAAGTAAAAAATTCTTAGATGTCACTTATTTAAGCATCTTCAAAATGTTTCTGATCCCTCCCTGTCATTTCAGATTGTGTAGTAATTATTAGTGTGATGTTTTTGATATTACCTTGACTTTCTATTATCCCATTTCCAGATGTTTCAGCCTAGCAGCCCTCTTTGCAGTCAGCACTTGCAGAGGACTAGCTTTACATCAATCAAGTCTTTTATTAATTCCATTTCTTTATTTTTAAAACAAAGGCAGTAAGGCAAAAAATGAATGAGAATGATGGAGGTAAATAATGTCAGGCTATGAGAGTATATTTCATTACTAAGCTAGCAATTTTGTCTTTGCCTTGAAAAGTTCACAAGGAGCATAAAGCTGTGGATTCGTTGTGTATGAAAGCAGTGGAGATGTGAGAATTACAGGTACTAATTCACAGTGAGAAGAATGGTGGAAAATGATGCTCCCATTCTAAATCTGGTCCTATTACAGAAGAAAAAAACTGGTCAGGCACTTTTACTTTTCAGGTTCTCATTTTGGAGATCTTGAGAAATGCACATCATCTCCTTTGCCTCAATTATCCAGCCTATTGCCAAGGCTGGAGAGGAGAGTGTCAACAAGCATTTTTACAAGAATAATATTTAGCATTTGCCATCTTGCTCTTGGCACTGCTTACCTAGGGATGACACCTGCCATCATTAGAACACATACCTTGCATCTTCTTTTAAAAGGTCACTGTACTTTGGTCCAGAAGAACGGATGTTAAAGGGATCAGAATTATCATCTATTTCAAGAGCCTCGGCAAGACGCCTATATTTGAGGGTAGGAGGAAAAAAGCAAAGCATAACAACACCACAGCCAAACAAATTCTCCCAGCCTCCCAAAACATGTTGTCACTGAAGAGTAAGGATATGGGTTACTAACACAGATGAACAGCTCAGAAAAGACAGTTTGTGCATCTGAAGCTATTTACGACTTTTCACTACAATATTCTAGTAAGAGCTCAGAACACTCAATATACACCCCTAGAACACAGGAAAAATCTCCACATCTATCAGTTCTCTAGGTCATGCAGAAAAGGATTTTTTTTCCACCCAGTATTAACTTTCTGAGCATGGACTACTTCTGAAAAAACCAAGCAAGTTCATTGCCCACCTGTTCCTCTGAAGAGCTAAGCATTCTTCATCACACTGCAGCCTAAATTTAGAAAGAAAAATACAATTAGAATCACAGCTGCTACTCATACTTTTCAAACTGTAGCTTTGTTAGTGTCATATCATTATTACAGTCTAAAGTAAGAAGAGTGTGTAAGAACAGTTTATTGTACTCGATCAGATAACACAGCTAAAAACAACCAACAACAAACAAAGACTTTTGAGCCCAAGTCCTCCTGCAGGTCTTGAACAGAAGCAGCAATCACCAAAACCAGCTTCTGAACAAGATTTTATTGTATTGGTGAATTAAATAATTTCAGAAAAAATGCAGTTGATTAAGCAGCATTAAGTTGATGCTAACAATGGGAAATGAGCAAAGCAAGATATGAAAAGGTCACTTACTCCTATGCATCAGAAAAAAAATTATCAGCCAGGAAAAACATGAAAATTAGCTATGCATATAGAGGATTATGATGTGACATAAAAATTAGTATTCTAACTGAGCCCGTAACTTCTAATGTCCACACAACTATCAATTTCAGTTTTCAGTCTCATCTTTGAAAGTTATTTTATGTTATTTCTAAGTGATTAAAATGTCAGAAAAGGATCAAGTCTTCTCCAGAATTTCACAGTGGTAGTTACAAACTTCTGCCCATTACCCTTACTGGGTTAGCACTGTGATACTAATAGGAACAAAATAGTTGAGGCTCAATCAGGGTAAAGCAAAGATTATTCTACAGTAATTCTAGAGACAGAAGTTGATTCTTGTATATTTTTTGAGTATTCAATTAATTGAAACACACAGGGTAGGCTAAAATAAAGACTCTATTACTGCTTCCTGTTGGTTGAAACACACAGGGTAGGCTAAAATAAAGACTCTATTACTGCTTCCTTTTGGTGCCTTTCTTATAACAGGCTTACAGGGTACTAATACCATGCTCATTCAACTTGCATGCTGGAATCAGTACAGCTCTCCCTTTTCCACCTTTATTCCCCCTCTCACCTTCATCTGAAGTATGACAATGACTCAACTAGAACAAAGCTGGAGACTGTGACGAGCAGGTGATTCCATGCATCATTTCTGGTGTTATTTCGTCTTGCCCATAGATTCAGAATTCAAATTATTTCAGTGTAGAAAATTACCCAAAAGGATTTCATAATAACTTGCTCCAATTTCATAGACATTAAATAAATAAACAGAACAGAACGACTAGCAAAAGTTTGTGAAGTATGCTGGTATTAGTTTTTGATACAGGAAGTCATGAAGCAACTCTATGGGAGATGTCACTGTTTTGACTTCAAGCAGTATAAAGGAAAATTAAATTTTAACACATAACAGACTGACTCTGAAATAATCAAATTCACAATTAAGAGAAGAGAGGTGGTAGCAGAAAGTAAACTAAACCCAGGAATCAAGGACTGATATCAGGTTTCTGATAGAAGGATGTGGGAGAAACTCGAGAATTCCTTAAAGAAATTATATTACAAGTTAAAAGATAAGCTATTCCAATCCTGAGGGACAGAAAAATCACGAAATTCAAGTCACAAGCGTTTTTGTAAATTAAAAGCAGATCTGCAGTGCCAGTCGGTCTGAGAACATAAAAGTGCCAATCAAACTGAGATACAAACGTAAGAAATCTAAAAATGGCAATAGAAAGATATTATAAATAGTGAGATGATGACTAGGGGACAACACGCCCTATTAATAATCCAGGAAGGAATGCTGGATGCTGAAACAGATAGCAACAAATTATACTGGCTAGAAATCTGAAAAAAGCTAGAGGAACACTAAGGAGTTTGCTGGGTAGAAAGAAACTCTGAAACCACAAGTATATTGTTCCATACCTAATTATAACAACAAACCAGCAAAGGACAGAGGACTCATTCCAAATGAAAGCAAAAGCATAAGCTGCTAAGGAACTGTAAAATATTCTTTTAGCAGTACTGTTACATTAGAGTCAGGCTATTTAAACTCTTCTTATTTTAACTGGGATTTTGCTCCCAGTATTATGAATTACCCACATTCCCAAAGTCCCAAGTACACACAAGGGTTTGAAATATATTTCCACATGTATCTCCTTACCTGGCCTGCTTCATTTCTTTTTTTGTAATAAGCCTACTGATTTCCACTGAATCTCCAAGCTGTAGATCTGTTAACTTAGTGGCAATAGATATAGCAGCTATTCTGAAAAAGAAGAGTGTTAAATTTCATTTGAGACAACAAATAAACCTTTGTAAAAGGTGCATAAAGTTGCAGATTTGAATCTCCAGATGGAAGGAAGCAGACAGATTGACCATTTCATCATCAGATTACAGAATGGGATCCTAGTTTCATCTAGTTTTAGAAGTGTACTCTACCTAGCTATGTAAACTAAGAGGTGGCTCTCCCTCAAGCAAGTAGGAGCAAGAATAACAAATGGACATGCTTCTTCAGAAAATTTTTCAGAGCATTAATTTGAAGCAAGTATCAACTTGACAATGCAAGTACTCTTCCATCTCACCTGCTTAATATTCATACTACAGCTGACTATATAGCTTTGTCTTTTTAACACCTATGTGATTGTGTGCAGCTAAAATCTGTAAAGTAATTTTATAAAGTACTTAGAAATTTGCTTAGAAGATATGAATGATACAACCTAGAAGAAAAAAATGCCTAGTGAGCCTGTTACAATTTTCTTTAAAAGATTATTCTTCAATAACCAGCCATCCCAGTCTGATATTCTTGCTAAAACTTCCCTAACTAAAATATACCATTTTTTTAGTGAAATATCCCATATAATTCTCAAACCAAATCCTGAAAATTGAACAGTCTATCCTCTGAACCATCTTTTCTGTTAAATTCAGATAAAAGGATATGTCTGTCTCTATATATTTTGCATCACATTCAGAGAACTAATCATCTGTCAAGAAGGATAACCATACTACCCAAAAAACACTGAGAGGCACCATCAGCTTCATATTTACCATGTGGTGTCAAAGTTTACACAAATGGCCCTTAGATACAACATCATCATTTGTATAATGTGTACAGATACAGCAGCACTCGCCCTTCCCTGTTCCCTTGGGTGTTATCCCACTGACATTCACTGACAAAGCTCAAAGCTGTTTCATCACTCCTGTAACATTTTTGAGAAAACTTGGATATTGCATTAACTTGCTGACCTTTCCACAACAGTTCTGCAAGAGTTACTCTGTCATGTTTGGGTTTTGGGATGACTGTTTGGGCTATTTATTTTTTTTTTTGTGTGTGTGTTTGTAGTTGTTGTGGGGTTTTTTTTCTTCCCAAGTATGTAGATGATGGGAGAAAGCCAAACCAAACTCAGAATATTTTAATCTTTCAGCAGCCTGAAGAGTTGAAGTTATCATTCAAACTTGGCTAGCATTAAGTGCTGCTTTTGCTAGTATCAGTAATTTCTAAACATATATGGACACATCTGAACAGATAAAAACACTTGTTTTAAACTGTCACTTTCCCTTCCTCTTTACTTGGGCTCTCATTAGATAAATACATGTGTTTAGCTTATGTATGCAAGGACTCTCACTGACTTCAGTTTTTTTCTATGAATACTTTTGCAGTGCCTGAGCTATAGAAACAGCAAAGAAGTAACAGCCTTCAATCATTTGGACTTGTAACTACATTACCTTCCCAGCTTAGCATTAATGACAAGCGTACATCAATTTAAATTGGTATTTCAAAACTGAGTCAGTCTTCTATCACTCATAGTGATAGCTCTTAACCAAACTCTCTCTTTTCTTCAAAAAAAAAAGATCACCACTCCTCTAAGCGTATCTTGCATTCAACTTAGCACTGACTACAATTGTTCTCAGCTGCTCCTGATCAGCACATTTTTCTCCTTGCCTTCATCATGTAGTATTAAGCACCTATTACACAGATGCTAAACCATCTTCTGTCAGAATTTGCATCTGGGCAGTACTCAGTAGGAACTGAGCTGGGCTTAGTATCAGGTCCTCAAATAGCAGTTCCAAACAAAAATGGGAAGAATCTGTGACTGTGCTCTCGTATTCAGTTGATGCAAAGCAGAACTCTGGCTGCACAACAACTCTTTAGATTTTTTTACTCCCTCTCAATCACAGCCTCAGAGTAGGATTTAAAAAAATTACTATTACTACTGTTTTATTATTTTAATTTCAGAAGTTACAAAGCCCTACTTTTCTTCTGTTCCTTGACCCTTTGTCCTCTCTTCTAAGAGAGAAAGGGAAATCAGTTTAGAAATAGGATCTGGAGACAAATCTATTGCAAAAAATGGAGCTGGGAAGGACTCAGTTCGCATATTAAGAACCAAGATTGAGATGCCAAAGCTCTCCTGCCTAAATTTAGCTATTTCAGAGTAAATTTAAATCACTCTTTATCTTCCATCATCTGTATTGACTAGGTGCCATCATACACTAAGGGAAACTTAGACAGCAACTTGCACATGGACTGCTATGTGTAATCACCTCCATCCAGGAGCCTGAATCTGGACCTGCCTGATTAGCCTGTATCTAATTGCTCTGTGTGAGTAGAGCAGAGTTCCACAGATAGGAGATTCAAGCTTTGACACAGCACCACAGTTAGACTAACAGCACAGTAAAAAGAGGAATGTGTTCCAGTACAGCATAGCTCATATGAAAGCTCAAAGGAATACAAGCACGAAACTGTATGTGAAAGTACAAAAAATATGTGAAAAAGTTTGTGAATTAAAAATATTTATTCAAGACTGAAATTTAATCAAACAGCAAAGAAGCAAGTCCAATAACGAATTTAAAAAAAATATTATAGTACAAACCTTTGATATGTATTAGATGCTTCTGAGCAAATCATACTCTCCTTCCTTCTTCCACATTCACATTGAAGATCAACCTGTTGTATCACACAAGAGAGCAGACTTTTTTTTTTGTCTTTTTATGGCCATGGAAAATGTGAGGGAGTAAAATGTATTCTTTTAAAAAGTTTTACTTTAGTAGAATAATGGGTAATTAAAAGTGAAAAATACGACATTTTCCTTAAATTCAATAATAAAAGTTTACAGAAAAAAAAAATCATGCTACTAATACATAAACATGTCATTTTTTGTCACAGCTGTTACTAGTTGATAGCTATACAACTGGCCTGTGAATTTGCAGTGAATCTAACCTTTGCACAGCATGATGTTGTCGGGCAGGGTGAAGAAGGATGACATGGAGCCATACAAGGATGATTACAGTATAGTCTTGGAATAACACATGGCTGTTTACACTCTTCATCTATAAGACATTCTCCTTTGTGGCAGATTCTTTTACATTTGTGCATTCCACATTTTAACATCTGATTGCAGCGGAGGCCACAGGAAATGTCCGTGAGATGACAAGGGATATTACTTCGCAGCTGGAAGATGGGAGGAAAAAGATGGTAATTAAAAATGAAAAACTATAAATATAAATCTCAAGGTACTTTTACTGTTCACACCTTCATTTGGCACTGTCCATGCAAGTACTGCAATACTAAAATATCTTAGGACAAAGGCTGAGTTTTTCTTTATATCGCAGTCCAAGACAACAGTTGGTCTGAATGCGTATGGCATAGAAGACACACTTTTCTAGTTTAAACACATTAAATTCAAACTCCAATAACATATTCTATTCCAAAGAAGCCACAAGAATCTAAGCCTGCAGTCCTAGAACACTACTTAGTAGCCAAAAACATTAAGCATCCAGACTTACTTCATGCTTGCCCATACACCATTTCTGAGTGAGATAAGTACAAGGTGGACATTTCTCCTCACTATGACATGAATGGTACACTGCAGTCACAGAAATAGAAAAGCCAGCACAGTTTTATTAGCATACTTCAATCAAATGCATCAAAAAAAGACAATAAAGATTATTAAGCATGAGTTTGCATTTCAGGACTACACAATTTATGGGAAATATGATGATTCACGCACAGATGATCTGTACTTTAAAGTGTTCTTTAAAAATTATGATGGCAGGTTTTTGGGTGAATATTCTTCCATATTTTCTAAATAAAATAGAAAAGAATTTCATAACTTCTTAGCAGGGTTATACTATCAGACAGTTTTTCAGAAAGCATATCTGTTTGACATGTGCTACGTTTTTTGTGATTGGCCAATGTAATTCTAAGGAATGCAGAAACTAACTGTTCACTAGATAATCCTACTGCTTTAATAGAGCACTTCACCTCTGAAATACAGCATTTAAAGTGTTTTGACTGATAATAATGATCAGAAAAAAAACAAAAAACAATGCTTTTACCAGTCAGAAGTGTCACTACTAGTATTCATGGCAAGTTTTTAGTCCGTTGTCTTATAAATGCAGACACTTGGGAATATACAAAACTACTGAAAAAGCATCTAATAAAGAACCAAATATATTTTTAAACAGACCTATGTACACTTTTTTACATTTCAGTTAAAACAAAACTAAATAAACATGTAGAAATGAATGGTTTGACTTACCTGGATGATCACAGTCGTGTGGCCTGGTGCATGGTTTTTTACACTCTGGTGGCTGAGTGCCACAGGGCACAGGGGGGTAAATCACAGATTCACCACAGTAACAAGTCAGCTCATCAAAACCTGAAGAAACAAGTCAAACATATCCCAATGACTACACGTATTTGCAGTTCTTCACAATGAGAAATCTTTAAATAACATGCAAATTGTTTAGTCCAGTTTTGGTTTTTGATATTAAGCACCACAGCAGTGGAATTATTACCTTTTGTGGCTCCCACAAGAAAACCAGACCATGATTGCTTCATGGGGAACTATGCTTGCTTTTAGGGGGTGCTTCTTTGACAGCAACATTTTGAACTGGAGCAAGAGAAATGCTCATGTCAAGTTGAAAGCTGTTGCTGTTCTATCCTTGACTTAAAAAACAGGGAGGTATCTCTCAAGTTCCCTTCCAGAAAGCACATCATCCAAATCTTGTGCCCCGAACTTCCCCACCACCACTGCTTTTTCAGATCAGTGGTTAGATTTTTGTCCTTTTGCCAAGGCCTTTTTTTTTTCCCCTGTATTTGGGAAGCAGATTTTAAACTCTTACCATAAGATTCCAAATCTCAGTGACAAAATAAACAAAGGAATAAAAATACTTACATACACCATGTCAACTAAAACTTAACACTGCATAGAAGTTAATACAGTTCACTGCTGTTTTTCAGGCTATAAAGAAACTGAGAGGGAGACTGACTGGAATGCAAACTACAGTTCAGATAAAACCTTAGAAAAATAAGACACTAAGAGAAAATATTAACATCAGAAGTAACACAGGAGACCTGAGAACAAAAAGAATATGATTGCTCTATAAACAAATAAAGAGACAGTGGATCAGGGACCAAAAGAGGGAATGATGGAGGAGGTAAGAGAATAATGGGGCAATAAAAGTACAGAACAATAACTCCAATCTGAAGAGAAGACAAGTGTGTTAAGGGGGCTGCTGAATTCAGGAAGTTCTCCTGATTCTGGGAATCACTGGATTCTTCCTTTCTTGCTTACCAAAGCAAAATCTGTTGAACTCTAAAACCCCAAATGTTCCTGTTGTCCCACCTCTGTGGATATGATGATGGCTGCTGGATCAGTATGCAGGTCCAGCCACTAGCAAGACTGAAAACACCTTCCAAAGAGACTAGACACCCAATACACACATCACAATAACATGACTGGACACACAGATGAACACAGACAACTAAACAACAAGATTTGTGGAAACAAGAATACCAAAAACCAAGTCCTCTTCTTTCTCTCTAGCTCACTAGGATTGAAGGTCACTAGTGAAGACACACACACACTCTCTAGATCCACATGTACACTGCATTCACAGATCTCAAATATTAGCCTGGGCTCTGTCTGATATCCATACCTGGACAGACCCTTACTCAGACACAGGCTGAAAGCTTGTGGAATTCCAGAGGCAGACCTCTTCCTAGCCAGCCAGTCCAGCTTTGAAGCAAGTTCATTAACAAGTTACCCAAACATACCCAGGCACAGAGAGGACTGAAATTAGCAAGGGAATCCCAACACTGCCTGGCTTCTCCGGGTGCTGGCACCCAGAACAAGGGGTCCCTATAACCTGTGACCCCATTCTCCAGCTGCTGGCATACAGTGATTACTGGATCAACATACATAACTGAATATATTTCACTATAATTCACTTGAATTAACTAATAAAATCCAACAGTTTGTAGACTAATCTAAAATGAAATAACTTTCATTTAACAAGGTTTAACAAGGCCAAGTGCCGGGTCCTGCACTTGGGTCACAACAAGCCCAGGGAACACTCCAGGCTTGGGGAGGAGTGGCTGGAAAGTGCCTGGTGGAAAAGGACCTGGGGGTGTTGGTGGACAGCTGACTGAACATGAGCCAGCAGTGTGCCCAGGTGGCCAAGAAGGCCAATGGCATCCTGGCCTGTGTCAGAACGAGTGTGACCAGCAGGAGCAGGGAGGTGATCGTGCCCCTGGGCTCAGCACTGGTGAGACCTCACCTTGAGTGCTGGGTCCAGTTTTGGGCACCACAGTAGAAGGACATGGAGGTGCTGGAATGGGTCCAGAGAAGAGCAATGAGGCTGGTGAGAGGGCTGGAAAACATCTTTTATGGAGACCGGCTGAGAGAACTGGGGTTGTTTAGTCTGGAGAAGAGAACACCCAGAGACCTTATTGCTCTCTACAACTAGCTGAAAGGAGGTTGTAGTGAGGCTGGTGTTGGTCTCTTCTCCCAAATTACTGATGATAGGACGAGTGGAAATGGCCTCAAGTTGTGGTGGGGGTGTGTCAGGGGAGGTTTTGATTGGCTATTAGGAAGAATTTCTTCACTGATAGAGTGCTCAGGCACTGGAACGGGCTGCCCAGGGAGGTGGTGGAGTCATCACCCCTGGAGCTGTTCAAAAAACGAGTAGGTGTAGCACTTGAGGCTATGCTCTAGTGGTTAGGGAAACACTGGGAGCGTGGTTGGACCTGATGACTCCGGAGGTCCTTTCCAATCATAGTGATTCTATGAATTTTCTTTCATGAAAAAACACAGTTCAAATCAACTGCATAGTCTTCAGGTTCTGGTCAATTTGGACCCCTCTCTCAGTCCAACTCTGATCAGTTAGATGAATAAATTTATTTAAGAAATAATGCACTCTTGCACATAACTCACTCGTTTGCCAGCACGTTTGACAAGTGCCCCGATGACAAGGTTCTTCACATCTATGAAGCCCACAGTTGAGTTTACGACCACAGACCAAAGAACACTTATGTTCCGTGTCCTAGGGGAAGGCAAAAAAGAGAAGCAGAATTGAACTATAAAGCCCACTGGTGCATTGTACTTTGAAAGGTCATAATCTAAAAAGTAGCTTAGGCCTGATCTGTACAGTTTCGCTATCACTGTATGGACACACAGTTTTTAACATGGATTCTCCCAAGACCTCTGTTGCAGACAGAGCTACATCATAGCTTGTGTTTCCTGTGTTTAGTACCACCCTCCTGCTCCCCCCATTCTCCCCAAAACCACCGCACGGACTTTTTTTTTTTTTTTTTTTTGTTACATTGCTTTCAGGCTAGAATGTGGTTTACAGTTATAATAATAATCATAGAACAGATGCTGAAAACTAAATACACATACACACAAACTTTTCTGAGCATGACCAAATGCAGCAGCAAATAGAGACTGAAGATCACAGAAAGTTTTGGGTTGGAAGGGACCTTAAAGATCATCTAGTTCCAACACCCCTGCCATGAGCAAGGACACCTTCCACTAGACCAGGCTGTTCAAAGCCTCATCTACCCTAACAATGCAAACTTCCAACAATAGCATCCACAACTTCCCTGGACAACCCGTTCCAGTGTCTCATCATAAAGAACCTCTTCCTCATATCCAATCTAAATCTTCCCTTTTTCAGTTTAAATCCATTACTCCTCATCCTATCACTACATGCTCTTGTAAAAAGTCCCTCTCCAGCTTTCTTGTAGGCCGCCTTTACGTACTGGAAGGCTGCAGTAAGGTCTCCCTAAAGCCTTCACTTCTCCAGGCTGAATAACTCCAGCTCTCTCAGCCTGTCTCCACAGGAGAGGCACTTCAGAAATTGAAAGATACAAGAGCAAAGAAGTCTTTCAATATCACAACCAAAACCAAACACACATCAAAATGAACAATTTTATAAAACCACATGTAAACTTACCACACAGCAAACTTCATTACACTTGTGTCGTCCACATGATCTCTTCTTGTTGCATCGCTTGTCACACATGAATGTAATAGCAGCTATCAAAACCAAAACAACATACAGAGATCACAGACATGATCACAATATTATGCTAAGGCTGTTGCAGAATATGGTCTACGAGAGACTAATACAGAACAAATTAGCAAACAAACTCTTAATTTACTTGCCCTCCTACATTAATTCCCTATGTGACCATTAGGCTTCCTTTAAACAAACTCCTGTTCAAAAGGATTTTGGAGAGAAGAGTCAATGAAACTAGTTTATTTCACACTAGTCTTTACATCATAAACTGTACAATGGAACACAGAAAACAGGATATCCCAATACACTGGAGTACTAAAATCATCCAGTTTAAGTCTGCTCAAATTGGTAAGGCACTAAAAGCGAGCTAAATACTACTACTGCTGATATGCTCATGAATATAGTGCTAACAAGAATAGCCTTATCACCATTCACAGGTAACAAAAGCACAGGTAACTTCTGAATTCTGAAGAGCCAGTCTTCATAGACAAAAGCTCAAATTAGGCAATACACATATTACTTCCTTATGTATCTTGTAAATAAATAGCTCAGTGTGACAGGAGTCCATCAAGTAAACATTTCACTGAGATGAATTTTGAGATACTACATCCAGAATACCAGAAGTGTCAAACAGGAGATCTCTGCCAAGCTCTGATGCAAAGACCAGCAGCATACAACTGTGATGCAGAATCAAAGCTTGTATTTCCCAGGGAACTTGGACAAGAGCAGACCAAAAGCATTATTTTGCACACGAGCTGTGCAAGTGGACCCAAAGATATACAGGACACCTCAGGGGCAAGCTATCAAATAAAGCAGGTAGCATAAGCAACTATTCAAATTGAAATAGATAGCTTGTCTGGCATCTTTAAGATCTAATGCAGAACAAGTTTTTCCTTATGTAAAAAGATGGACAGAAATGCAAAGGTTTATTATGACATCAAACCCCAAATTAATATGAGCCGTCTGTAATTTTTAGAACAATTTCACATTATATAAGTAACATAATATTGTACCTTTATTTCTGAGGAGAGCACATGGGACCTCCTAGGACATAAAGAGTGAACCATTAGGTTAAAAGAGATGGAACAACAGAAATTTACTGATTTAGAAAACACCTCATCACATGACACAGAAAAAAACAGCACTATTTTCATGTCTATAACACTTCTGTACACAAAAGTGAAATAAAAACTGGAAAAAAATCTTCAAATCTTTTAACACAATACTTTTTCCTTAGGGACCCAACACTAATTAAAAAAAAACAAACTGCAGTTTTGTGTTTCTCACTGAATTCAGTAGATAATGCCATGCAGTGACAGAAACAGGGTTGTCCTAAGAAACCAGAAACTTGTGTGGAGGAAACCAGAAAAGGTCTCTTGGAGAATAATGACAGAGTGCATGCATTCACGCTTTGAACAACGGTCCCAAAAATGCAAGTCTGGCTTGACAAAATAGGTAAAGAGGAAAGAAGTTGTTGTGGTTTAGCCCTAGGCAGGAGCTGGGCACCACTTGGGAGCTCCTTCACCCCACACCCACCCCCTGAACAGGAGAGGAAAAGGGAGAAAAATACAAAACCCCATGGGCTGAGATAAGGAGAATTTAATACAACAGCGCAGAAGGAACAGCAACCAGCAGCAGTAACAACAGATATAGATAACAAAGGGCAGAAGGAAAGAGCTCTCCACAGGGGCTCCAGGCGCCCCCTCAGCTGCACCCCCGTCCCGGAACCCCCGTCCCAGACCCCACCCTTCACCCTTGCCCCCAGCCCCGCTCGG